TGTCTCGAGTTGACACGTTTTAGCATGGTGGCTAGACGAGCTTGCTCCAGCTTCACAAGAGTTCACAAGTTTCACCAGAGTGAGACTTGTAAACCAGAAGTAGTGAAGCAGTGAAAGTGCAAAATGCCCCCCATCGCCGAACTGCGCCCTGAAGTTCTTTTAGCACCCACTAGTTGGGAGCCCATTCCGTTCTTTTGCAAAGCTGCGATCTTGTCAGTGCAGATGACGAGTTTCCTGTGGCGAGCTTTGGAGAGATGGAAGTGGGCTCTTTTTCCCCCTTTTTGCAATGGCACACACAGCTAGTCTTCTCCAAAAAGGGCGACTGAGTTGCACACTTAGCAGCGCGCTCAGTGATTCCTTCAATTCAATCATCATATTCAAGTAGGCACGATTTGAAAGGGGTAAAGTGCAGCGCTCCAGGATCTTTTTTTTCCGGCAACGTTCATGAGCTGATGTCTGTTAGTGCTCTACAACTTCTACTCGCCGTTCTGATTACGCGTTTTGATGAACCTTTAAGTTGACTAAATCTGAATAAGATTTATATGAAGACAAGTGAAAAGCGGACCACGAAACGAGCGCTCTGAAAAATACGCCGCTTTTCACGAGAAAGACTATTTTTCGAAAAAAATGATCCCCTCGGAAAAAAAGATCCCTTAGGATGGAGAGTGGCGGTTTCACAATTTAGCGCTATCCTTTTGGGTCGTTTGACCACTACAGGATCCTTCTGGGTAGCCTAATAACCCTTCAAAATTTCTACATTCTTGGCTGCAATGCTCCACTGCAATCATCCCCTATGGTGGACCATGAATGGATAGCTGGATGCCCATTAACCACTATGGAAACGATCAAGTGCTGTGAGCAGGAAAATGCAGTGCCATTTGGATAAGTCATTTTACAATAATAGCTTTTGGAAGCCAGCCAAAGTTGGCTCGAAAGTTAGGCAAGGGCAACGACACCGGAATAACTTAAGGTACATACGCAAGAGAAGTGCGAACAAAAGGTGAATATTAATTATTAAAAAATTAGAAAGAGAAGTTAGACACTTACGTTCCACTCAGGTCGTCTGTCGAAACGTCGTCAAAATTCTCAGAAATACCACTGGAGATTGACGAACTATCCTCGAAACTGAAATGCACATAGAATGACGTAGAGAAATGGGCGTGGCTAGCTGTGTTCGGGATAGAACTAGCACGGGGCATTTGAGTGACAGTTGAGGGGCAGAACCACCAGCTCTCATAGCAGCAGCAGCAGACCCTCTATCTCCTTTACATTACCTAATTGCCTAATGTCATGCTTTTGTGACAAGTACATGATCGATAGTGTGCAGGTCATAAAGAAAGTTCTCTACGCGGCGCGACATGAGTGATTACTAGAAGAATTAATCATCCGTAAAGGGCACTGCGTGTATATACTCAGCAATTAGCAAGAAATTTGCTAAGGGAGAATTTGGAAGGGAACGGGAAGTAGCGAAAATTGGTCCAACAGGCAACCGACTGAATGACAAAGCGTCAGCCGACTCGGTGGATTAACTCTGGCGCGATAAAGGAACGAGATCATGGCCAGTGGAACAAGAGGATCAGAGGCGGATGGAATAAAGGGGGATTCAAGATGAAATCCCACTGGGCTAGACTAAGCCAAACCTGGTGGGACACATTCTAATTCAGATCACGGGAAAAATCAGTGTTTTGAGTGAAGACAACGAACAGACAGTAATTCCCGTCCAAGCAAAGTTTATCCGCGCTCAGTGAAGCCATTTAGGTACCTTGAGGGTCAGGGCAGTGATGTAGTGGTAGCTGGATCTTCCGGAACAGAGAAATTCTACTTCCAGGGGAAAGGTTTTTTCCGAAGCCTAAGAAATGTTCAAGCATCTCCACCAGGGTATTCTTGGTTTTCAAATGTTGGAAAGCACTACGTGCCGAAATTTGTGAATAATTGAATGCGTCCCGGCGGCTAGAGTAGGTGAGGAGTAGCCAGTAGTACGAGTGGATGGCTAGCGCACGATTAATAACAAGAAATCTCAAGCATACTTGGAGGCTCTGCATCTTTGAGAGCACTCGTAAGTGTTGGCAACGAATGGACAGCCTGGCTTAATTTGGAACTAAAATAGACGAACAATTTTGAAACTTCGTCGATCATCCGGCTGAACTAAGGATGGGACTTCGGTAAACCCTATCATACAGTGAAGCACCCGATCAAGCCAACAATATCTTATTACTACAGAAAAGAAGCAGCCAAAAGCCAAAGCAGTTAACTAAAATAGTCCGTCTTGACAGTGATGACTTTGGTGAAGTAATCCGATTGATGATATTTGGACCCCAAAGGGCAAAAAGCGGTAAGACGGATATCCGTAAACTGCGAGTGAAATGACTAATCCGACACTAAGACATGCTGTTCCGCTGTGGAAGTGTGAACATTATGTGTGAACGTGTTCAGTCCGACCTCAATTCTAATATCCCTCTTCCGTATCGACCCTCTATCAAATTCCTGTCTACTGTAATCTCCCTAAGCGCCCAAGTCAGGTCCAGTTGTTTTTTCTAAGATTTCTATACGAATTTCACGCGAAGCAGTGTTAGACGGGGAGTGGGGGGAAGGGCACTACGGGGAGGTCGTGAACAACCAACTTCTAAGTCCAGCCACCAGAATGAGAAGTCGTACTGTAGAGCTAGTACTTTCCTGGCAGTGCCACACTAGGACTCAAAAGCGTACATGAAATGGAGAAAACCGAAAAAAGTAGAGAACGGGGAAAACGTCGTCGCGGCATTGTTGAGAAAATTCTGTCAGGGGCTCTCATGATCCCCGTCGGCCAAATATAACCCCGTATTCCGTTGACGGGAGTCCAAAATCCTCTGACGAGATTTTCATAAGGGTACTCTGTATAGAGGCCTCCACGCACAACAGAAAATTGTAAACGCTTTATGTCGGAGCTTGTCTCCTACATGGGAAAGCAACAGCGGAATACTT